CCACCGTGGCCTCCGCACAGCAGCCAGCGCCGAGCGGCCGTCCGCAGCCCCGCACCCGCCATGCCCCCTGCGCGCCGCCCGCGCAGCCCTCCGCCCGTCTGCCTGCCCGCCGCCCTCCGACTGCCTGCCCGCCACGGTGGCCTCGTGCTCCTCACGGAGGCCGGCCAATGGGCGCGGCGCACAGAGCCCGGCCGGCCAATGGGTGCGCCACTTGGCCCGGGGGGCGGGCGGCCCCGGGACCCGGCAGGGCGGGCTCCAGACCCCCTCCCCCCAGTTCCTCCCGCGGCTCAAGGCTCTGTGTCCCCCTTTCGGTCGTCTCCGCGGCGATGGCGGCTCCTTGTCTGCTCCCTCGTTCAAAAGTCAGAGAGCCTAAGACCTGCCGTTTCTGCGAGGCTCTGGACGGCTGGGGTGTGGAGAGAAGAGGGCTGGAGCGCACGGCTTCACGCGGCTCCCGGGGTCCTCTTGTCCCTCCTCTCAGCTTCTGGGTCCTCCTGATCCCAGTGCCTCCGCCTAGTCCCCGAGTCCTCCTGCCTGGCGGTCCTGTGCCCCTGCCCCTGTCCCTGCCTGCCTGTCTGTCTGCCTGCTGACCGGAGTTCGGTCCGCTTCACTCACCTCGCGAATAAAGAGCCTTTCCCGCGCGCTCCCCAATGCCAGTCCCACGCTAGGTGAGACTGCTGGACCTGCAGGGCAGCTGAGACCACTGAGGCAGCCTCTTCTTTTGCCGCTCGATACCTAGCCACAGGTGCTCTCTTCTAACTTGGAGAGAGGCTGTTGGGCGTGCGCTGCGGGGCTGTGGGCCAGGAACCACAAATGGCCAACTTACATCAAATTCCTCTTTGCCTAGTGCAGGCCTCCTCCTGATATGCCGCTGTCCGTTTTAGCAATGTCGCCGGACCTTACGACGAAATTCCTCTTTTCTTCCTCAATTTTTCTACCCAGATCAGCTTTTGTAGCTTGCAGGTGTACCAGGATGTGCACTGGGTCGCGAGGAGGCCAGCCCTTGTTGATGATGAGCGGTCCCGCTGGGCGCATGTTGTTTCCCGGGTGGCTGACTGGGCTTAAGGTTGTGTGCAGTGTGCACATTTGAAGGTCTCTTGCACCTGGGCCGAGAACCTAATGTGCCAGATTCTGCGAAGGGCACTGGCGCAAGACCAAAAGATGGACTTGTGGATGGCTATGTTTCTGTAGGTCCCATTGAGCCTGGTAGGCACTGGGGACTTGGTATATGTGAACCTCGTCCAGGAGCATGGACGCCCTGCATGGTCCAGCCCTCAGAACCACCAAGAGAAAAGGGAGCAAGCACCAGGTGGTATGCAAGCCCACTTCCTGCCCGGCTTTCCAGAATGGGTGTAAAGGAGACAGCTAAGGCCGCCCACAGCCAGCATGTGAACAGGAAATAGTCATAGACGTTTATTTGATTGTCTTAGCTTGTCATAGATGTTCCTCATTCCAAAACTATTCCTCCAGTTATTTTATCCCTAGGTAACAAGGGTGATGACCCTTATGGATATCTTCAGCAAGCGCAGTGATGCAGGATGAAAGGATATGAGTAAAGGCTCTGGTTCTTACAGCTAACATTAACTGATCAGTTACTATGTTGCAGGTGTTGTCAGTAGTTCTTACCTCACTAAATTCTCACAGCATCAATAAAAGGCCCCCTTTTTAAGGGTTAGAGAATTGACAAGGGGGAAGCTAAGGGAGTACCTATGGAGGAGGGATGTGGTTTGACAAAGCAACATTCATCACCATCGTGCTCTTTTGCAATTATTGCGAATAAAAAGACGATTCATAAAAAGCACCCACAAGTGCCTGGATAACAGTAAGTACCCATATAGGATAGCATTGTAATAATTTTAGGCTTTGTCTGAGACACTGAGACTTTTGTTGTGAAAATGAAAAGTTCAGCTTTCAACAATACATATCAAATTTTTAGAAGTCTGGTCACCGATTACATCCCCGAAGAAAAACAAAGCATCACGGAATTGCAGTTTAGAGTATGGTGCTGAACAACATTAGTCCTTCACTAAGGGTTGTGACTTCGGTCAGGGTATTAGGAAAAAAGATGGCGGAGGCAGAGTAGGGGGCGCGGCGCTCAACTCCCAGCCCAGGACAGCACTAGGGAGACCGAGGGCGGGGCCAGGCCACGCCACGTTGGAGGCTCCGCCCCTCGGGCGGTGCCCATCCCCAGAGCCGAAGCGCGTGCGCCAGCTGCTTTAGGCCGGCTCAGCCTCACGGAACATGCGCACTCAAACAGTACTCTGATTAGCGGATCCGCGCACTTCGCCTCACTCTGATTGGTGGAGCCGACCACGCGTGAAGCGGTCAACTTCCGCTCGCCAAGGTCCGCGGGGGCCGGCAGAGGCGCGCAGCTGTGGTCGCTTAGTTCGGCTGCGAAACACAACCAGGACTGGCAGGCCTCCCTCGACTGCATCCTGGCGTTCCAGTCGTATCTGGTTCCGCCGTAGTCTTCTCCACGATTTCAGTCGAGCATGTTCTTCAGGGCCCAGGTGAGGCGAGTTCTGCAGCGGGTGCCCGGGAAGCAGCGGTTCGGAATCTACAGGTTCCTGCCCTTCTTTTTTGTCCTGGGAGGAACGATGGAGTGGATCATGATTAAAGTGCGCGTGGGCCAGGAGACCTTCTGTAAGTGGGGACGCAGTAGCCTCCGTTTCCCTTGAGGAAGGCACGAGCCGGCAGGCCTTTCCCCCGCGGGAATTAGATTGCAGATACTGACTCCACTCAGCGCAGAGCTGCTTTTTACTCTGGTCGGAAGGGCGAGTGCAGTCCATTCATTTGGCAGTTTTGGTTCAACACTCGCTCGAGACTCACGGGGCTCTTTTGTACTCCGCACACGTGAGCGTCCCGCCCTTCCACCTTCCCTGCACTTGGAGGGCACATGCTCGAGAAGAGTCTGGCTGCCTTACCCTCAAGCCTGCTCTTGACCCTTTCCGGTGACAGTATTGCTTACTGCAACAGAGGCGGTGGATCCTAAGGATTCTTGGAAATTCCTAACTGCCTGTCTTCTGCCAAACCCTGGAGGGCGCTGGTCTCCCTGGCTTAGCTACTTACTCGTTTTAATAGGGCGATTATTGTCACCAGGTCAGATGCCCAGCACTGTGAAAAGAACACCTGGCATTGCTTTGCTGAGCAAAACTCTAGGCAGGTCATTTCCTCTTTCAGGACTTCCTCAGGCCCTAGACACTTTGTTTTGCCTCTCTCCTTAGACAGTATCACTTGTGAATTGCCAACTCATTTTTGTTAGTGATTCTTTCTATCTACTCAGTATTTAACGACCGCCCAGGAGAGGATCTAATGAACAAGGCAGAGAGGGTCCTCTACTTCAGAAGACAAATCATAAATAATTACCATTGGGGCGGGGTGTAGTTCAGTGGTACATTTTCCTTATGTAGGGCCTGGGCTCCATCACCTGCAAGGGGTGGGGGAGGGAGGTGATTAGGAGATGGGGTATGAAGGCTTCTGATGGGACAGGTGGGACAAAGGTGTGGAACACAGGCAGGGTGACCCTGGGCTCCGTTTGGGATGTGGAGGGGTGGAGATAAACAGATCTCAAAGTTATGGAGTTGAAATCTAGATTTCTGGACCATTCATAGGCAAATTTTGGTGAGTCCAACCCCAGTATGTTTAAGGAAACTTGGAGTGACCAGACAGGCAAGGAGGAACACAAGGAATGTTACTGCAGAAGCTAGGAGGGTAAAGAAATTTCACTGGGTGAAGGGGAGATAACTTCCTGTGATTAAGAGACTGAAGGATATGCAAATGCTGATCAGAAACTTCACCCTTGAGAAGGGGGATAGGATCAGTGTTGAGTGGGAGGAGTAACCTTGGGAATGAGCTCCAAGAGAGTTCTTTACAATGACTTTTCTCTGTAGTAAGAGTTCATGGTCATTCAAAGGTGAATAAAGAAGGGTAAGGGTCATGGCTGAGAAACTGGATTGTGACCCAGCAGAGGCACCGCAAGGCAGGGTAAATGGAGTAGGAAGTTGGATAAATCTGTTTGGGGTTTTGAGGGTGTGTCAAGAAGGTAAGATATTGCTGGATGCTGGTGGCTCACACCTGTAATCCTAGCTACTCAGGAGGCAGAGATCAGGAAGATCCCAGTCCAAAGCCAGCCCTGGCAAGTAGTTCAGAAGACCTATCTCAAAAAAACCTTTCACAAAAAAGGGCTGGTTCAAGGTGCAGGACCTGAGTTGAAACCCCAGCATCGAAAAAAAAAAAAAAAAAAGATTGAGGTCAGCTAGTGTGGCAGAAAGAGAGAACAGGGGAAGACAAGGGACTAAGGCCTGGGGAAGAAGCTGGCAAACTCTAAGGTCAGGAGGGCTGAAAGGGTAAAGAGGTTGTGGTCCAAGCAGAAAGTAACTGGAAAAGTCAGGGAGGTGAAGGAGGCCAGTGTGTCATCCATAAGGGTAGTGGTGATGCTTTCAAAAAAGGCATATGATGGAGCAAGGAGCTTGAGCCAACGGCCAGTGTTTTCAGTGACTGAAGGGGCATGATGGAGAGCAGGTGTCAGCGCAGAGATGGTGATAGTCAAATGGCATAAGCCCTTGAGGAAGAGGATTTTTAAAGGAAGAGGATTTCTTTACCATAGGTTAGAGAATCAAGAGTCTAGAAAAGCAGCTGCTGAGCACAAGGAAACTGACTTCCCCTCCTACCCTGAGGTTTGGGGTATGGAGGAGGGAACATTAGAGAACCACAGGGCAAGAAATGCCATCGAGGGGCCAGGTTTTAGTTAAGAGAATCATGGGGGAGAAGGAAGTGAGGGAAGGCATAAAACAGTGCTAAAATTTGTGCCAGGACGTGATCCTATCTTTGGAGAGGCTGGTATTTATCCTGCTAACGTCTAGAACTCCATTAACATAGTTCTCATTCAACTTGTTTTGTTTTTAAATTGTTTATTTTGGCATTGGGTTAAACATTACTGTTGAGAGCCAGAAACACGTGACAGAAATAGACCATTATTTGAATTACTCCGATCTGGGTATTTTTATAAATTTTACTCATCAGGATGGTTTGCTAAAAGTCTGAGTTTTCTAAACACCTTAAGCAAAGTTTTTGTTTGATACAGATGATGTCTACCGTAGAAAAGCCTCAGAAAGACAGTATCAGAGAAGGCTGGAAGATGCTTCAGAAACTGAACGTCAGCAGTCAATAAAATGAGTATGAATTTTCACTATTGTTTTCAGCTCCTTTAAAAAATATACTCTTCAGCTGCTTGTCCTTTAGCAGCTGTGTATTACAAGAACTTCCTTTGCAAAGAATTTTCAGTTTTGCAGTCTCTACTTGAATATTTCTCAAGTCACTTTTGGACAGTACTTGTGAAAAAATTATTTCCTCCTAAAACACCAACCCCAAAAAACTGGTCCCCCAACCCCCAGGCTTTGAGACTGAATAAGTTGTTTTAAAGCAACAAATGATAACCTTACTTTTTTTTTTTTTTTTGTAGAATTCAAACTAAATCATGGTCATACAATAAGATCTTCTGCAAGATCACCTAAAATAGGACAGTTATGCAAATTACTTTTTGCTGGGGTAGGAGGAATTCTTGACTAATTCTAAATTGCTCATGCTAGTGCTCTTGTGAACTCCCTTGCATAGAAGGGTAGGACCTCCATGACTCACACCCCTTTATGATAATTACGCTGCTAGAGACTATTCCTTCCATAAAAAGTAAATCTACACAGTGGAAGATAACCACAGATTTAAGTCACATCAGAGGCTTAATCTATTGAAAAAGATTTGGCAATTTGACCCAGCTAAAGTTTGGGTCACTGGTAGAAAAAGCAAAGACATCTTTACATGGTTGGATAACCACATCCAACACGTTTTCAAACAGAATATCTACAATCTATGCCAGGCGCAGTGGCTTATGCCTGTAATTCCAACTACTCAGAAGGCAGAGATTGAGAGGTTTGTGCTTTGAGGCCAGCTTGGGCAAAAGGTTTGCAAGACCCCATCTCAACCAATAAGAGCTGAACATGGTGGCGTTAGCCTGTTTTAACTGTGTGAGAAGCATAAAAATAGAAGGATTGCAGTCCAGGCCAGTCTGGGGGCTCAAGTGGTAAAGCGCCTGCCTAGAAAGTTCGAATTCCAACACTACAAAAAACTCAAAAAACTACATTCTAAAGATGACTAAGTTTCAAAATAGCTTTTTTTTGGCGGTACTGGGGCCAGGGTCTCATACTTGCTAGGCAGGCGCTCTACCATTTGAGTCACTTTGCCAGCCTAGTTTTTAATTATTGTGAAAAAATAAGCAAGCTGATGCTTAAGGACCCAGGATATGCTCAAGTTAGTTATCTCTGCCATAAACCTGTCTTGTCTTTTTTCTTTTGGTGGTACTAGGGGGTTTGAACTCAGGGCCGCTCTACCTAGTAAGGATCCATGCTCCCAGCCCATTCTCCTAGAGACCTTTCCCTAATCTAAGTTTGTCCACTTCTGTTAGAACTAGTTCAGTGTAAATAAAGAGCCAACGAACTCAGATCTCATCAGAGCATTAACTACATATAGTAAGCTTGAGTGTGAAGGCCAGTAATGACCAACAGAGAGGAATTTGTTGCACTATAATCCCCTGCCCACTTGTCATCTAGAGTTGTGAACCTAATCTTAGAAACATTATTGGTTATTGCTGCATAAGAAGTTATGGTATGATTCTCAATTAGATGTTCCCTCTCACTTTCTCCCTGTTTAAAGTTGAAATGTATTTGATACACAGAAATATGTCATACCTTTTACAATTAAAACCATGAGCCAGCTTGTTTCTGCTGTGGTTCCCTGACCCATGCCCCTGCCTCCTCACCTAAATTCTGTTACCCTTCTCTAGGGTCTTCCTTTCTATTTTGTTTCCCACCATTTTTTTTTTTTTAAACTGGGGTTTGAACTCAGGGCCTACACCTTAAGCCATTGGGTTTTTTTGAGATAGGATATTATGACTTATTTGCTCAGGCGGGTTTTGAACTGCTATCCTCCTGATCTCTGCTTCCTGAGTAGCTAGGATTACAGGCGTGAGTCACCAGGACCTGGCTTGCCCATCAGAGTTTTATGAAAGGATAATAAACTTTTGAAAATGGTAAATACCATCTTTTGTGTGTGTTTGTGTGTGTGTGTGTGCTCTACCACTTGAAGTCATGCCTCCAGCCCTTTTGTTTGTATTTTACTGGGCTGGCCTATACCTCAAGATTCTCCTGCCTCTGTCTCCTGAGTAGCTGGGATCATAGGCGTGTACTTCCATGCCTGGTTGGCAGGATAACTTTTTTGGACAGTACTGGGGTTTGAATTCTGGGCCTCCTACTTGCTAGGCAGGCACTCTACCACTTGAGCCCTCCACCAGCCCAGGATAACATCTTGATCTTAAGGTAGATAGACTGAAAAAGCAACCATTGTATTTAACGTAAAACACATTTTTCAGAGCACTTTCATTTGAATGCTATGAGTAAGAACATGTCTTTGCTAACTAAAGTACAGGCTTTTAACTTTCTCAAAATTTTTTTGCAGTGCTAGGAGTTGAACCCAGGACCTTAAATACATACCAGGCAAATGTTCTACCACTGAGCCATCTACTCTCCCCTCCCAAAAAAACCCCCTTTTTAACCTTTCTACTTGGAATGTGACTACCCTAGTAATCAGACAGTGGAACTATTTAAGAGAATTTTAACTGCCCCAAAATTCAACGTTCCTTAACAGTGATTATATAATGACAGTGCCCCCTAGTGTGAATTACAAGGCAAAAATGTGCATATATATATATATAGATTTTTTTTTTTTTTGGGTGGGACTGGGGTTTGAACTTTGGCCAGGCACACTATCATTTGAGCAATACCCTCAGTCCATTTTGCTGTGGTGGTTTTGGAGATGGGGTCTTGAGAACTATTTGCCTGGGCTGGCCTCAAACCATGATCCTTCTGATCTTAGCCTCCCGAATAGCTAGAGTTACATATGTGACCACCAGTGCCTGGCTTAATAATTTAAACTTTAAGAACTACAACACTTCTCAAGAATGATGCAGAACTTAGTCTTTATATCTAGAAATTTGCCTCCACTGTGCTGCTGGGAAATAAACATGGGCTTTGCAACTTTACTCATCTGAATTGATGGGGATATATAAGTTAGGTACACAGTAAATAATGAATGAGGATTATTTGTGTCCAAATAGCAGGTCTACTTTGGAAACCTTACCTAAATTACTGATGTTATACTTAATCATACTAACCTCTTTTGTGAGTATTTGAATTTTTTATAAGTACTTCCAAGTACCCTTGGACCATGGTGTTTTCCAAAGCAATTTCTCTCTTAGTAAATCAGTATTAGTTCTTAAGACTTCACACATAATTTGGAATTTCTTGACACATTTAAGTACAGCCCCCAAGACATGAAGACTAATAGTACCTAAAATAGGGGGAAGGAATAGTCTATTAGTTTGTTCAGTATTGAATTTTCATTCAGCTGACCTAACATACTTCCAAACTAAAAAGGAAGAGAGAAATATTTAGCAGTATTTGTTTGCTCACAGTGCTCAGCTGGGATGTTTATACATCAGTGATTGTTCAAAATATTTTCATGGGCATAGATGGCAGTACAGCATTACATTCTCAGGAGAATATAACCACAGGGATTTGCAAAGTGATGTTAGAGGAAAACGGCTGGTTGATTTTACCAACACTTTCTGTTAAAAGTAGAGTCACATTTTAAAAACTTAGAAACACATCAAAGACACATCCTGGGCCACCTGTCTCTTCTGGCCACAGACAAGCTGACTATTTGAAATGAGTTATTCTGCTTTCTGATAGAGGACATGCTTCCTTCACCTTCTGCCCTTAGTCACAAGTTCTAAGTTTTAATTATAACCTGCATTTCTGCCCAGGCTGCCGATCCTGAGAGGGGTGGGGCACTTCAGGCTGCAGTATGACTACATGTGGCTCTGTATGGTAACAGCCTGGGTGCTCAACCAGGGGGTCTGCACATTGACTTTCACCTCCACCAGAAGAGCACTATTCTTTTAAACTGGCAGCCATATCCTCATCAGCATGAAATCAGGGCTTGCAGGGTTCTTCTCTTCAGTCTGCTCAAAACTAACGTCTGACACAGCTTTAACAGAACCACCAAACCGGGTTAATCCAAATCACTTTGCAAACTCTGTTTTTATTTAGATTAAAAAGCTTTAGATGAACAAACATATGATACATACACATTATAAGACTAGTTACCACTTAAACCTCAGATGAGGATATAATACAGAAATTAGAATAAACCAAGTTTTAATCAGGTCTGGAAAGGTTCAAGGTGAAAGTCATCAACACCAATTTGGGGATTTTTACACAAATAAGCATCCTACCTCAAAGGAAGAGGTTTTTGAAAACAAAACAGTGGCCTTTTAAATCATTTGGCTGACATTGTATTTTAAACCTAAACCCCTTCAATACAATTCTTCTCTATAGGAACTTACATTTTGAAACATTTAGGCCATTATATTTTCTAAACCACACGACTATAGTTCCTAAAACTCATGGAAAAAAAACGTACAGTGTATTTGTAGTTTCTTATGTCAGAATTTTCTTTCTTTTTTTGAAGATGGCTGACCTCAAATCTTCTATCCTAAATATTGATATTTTCCAAGTTAGTATACAGAAAGACATGATTCTAAAATAAATATTTTTTTTTTCTTTTTTAAACTTAATTAGGGCCTGCCTAATGGCACCTTGGACTGGCTCTGTACTGCCTTAAGGAGCCCCTGGCTGGCTCTTGGTTCCTATAGTACCAAGGCACTGGAAAGGAGCCTGGAGGAGCGCTCTGGCTTCTAGTGCCCCTGGCCCATAGTAAACAGTTTTTAGAGGCTCCTCAAGGAAGTCTCATCCAGACCTTAAAAAGGGAAATAAAATGAATGCATGAAATAAATAAATAATTTAACCAAAATTAAGTTTCAGGTTCTTTGGTGTAATTCAAGGATGTCTAGAAGAATCTGATTGCATTACACATTCCATAATTCAGTGGTCAAATAACCAGGAACTGAAGATTTATCTGATTCAGTTTAACAATCAGGTACTGACAATTCTACTGTAAATGCCTGTTTTAAATTTTAAAATTATTTAAAATACTTGATACAAATTGAGATCCAGTGCTTGACTGATGGCAATTAAGTTAGTTTACAAGGGTCTCCTGTACTTAAAAGTATCTAGATACAAGAGACTTTTTTCCATTCTATACTCTTTTGCCCTCATGATTTATTGAGTATGGTAATTATACAAAGGGGTATTGATTCACAACACATTAAAAGGAAAAAAAAGTATCCTTTGAGTCATTTTCTCAGCAAAGAGCAGTAGAATCTCTACCACACTACACCTACCCTGTTACAATGAGGTAGGTTTAAAAAACATACCACCAAGGGAAATGTTCCATGTTTGAAGTTTCCTACCATCTGAGTGTCATACACTGCCTCCAAATGTTTATTCTAGGGCCATATAAGAAAGTCACCAAACCAAAGTGTTTGGAATGCATAATGGTCTTTCTAAGTGAGCATTTTCTTAAATAATGATTCTCTTCTGTAATTCAAAAGCACAAGCTACATTTAAAAACATATTTCAGAAAGGATTAAATTTCTGGTTGAGAATTACAATCCTGAAACTTAGAAGGAAAAAAAAAAAAGCCACAACTGATAATAAGAAAATAAAGAATATAACATACTTGCATATATGCAGGCAATCTACCCTTTCACAATTATGCTCAAGATGCAGCTCATATCCAACTACACATTCCCTTCTTTAGGTTAGATGTTATGATTAAAAATAAATCCCCTCCATGCATACATACTTCAATGCTTTCTTCAAGATGAACGTCAGTTTTTCAGTGTAACAGATTTAAAATTCAAATCTTCTAATATTGTATAGGCATAAACTGTGAACTCATTATAAACAGATCAAAAGTATTCTTAAACTTACCTGCCAAGACTAAATATAATTCAGGGTCCTGCAAAAATCACTGACATCACAGATATCTGACTCAGCACAAGAAAAACTGCTTTCTCTCTAGGTGTCTAGGAGGTATACTAACTGCAGATGAATGCACAGTACTGATTTTAGATTTCTGTAGTGAACCTTTGCGTTAATACAGCAAATGTGCCATGTCTGTCAAACATCTATAATCTACATGACAACCTTTCAAATAAAGCACTTTACTTTCCCTGTAAGGAACAGCTTTTTCAAGAAAGTGGCTTAATATATTCAGGCACATGAAACATACACATATACACTACCCTCTCTAAGATGTAAACTAGGACCAACTTCACATTTCATTGTCAACTTAAACTAATCTGTAAACTCTGTTTTTTTTTCTTATTTTGTGTGTTTTATATATATATATATATACATGTATATATGTATATATATGCGTGTGTGTATATATATATATGTTTATATATATATGTGTTTATATATATATATACATATATACACATACACACACAATAACCCCAAAACAAAAGAAAAAGCAAAAACCTCAAGCCAAGACAAAACCTTGATGGTTTAAGTCCCAGGGCAACAAGTAAAAAGATAAAACTCCAAGTCTACATATAGAACCAATTATGAAACTGGTTTTTAAACAAAGGAAACATATGCAAAAAAAGTGTGTATTTGATAAAGTCAACTTAATATAACAAAACCAATTGAAATAGCTTATTAAAAGTGTCCTTATATAAAAATGGCCTGTGATGTACAGTAAAATGCAATAAAAATTACCATCCTTTGTTCCTTCCCCCCACCCCCAGTAACTAAAATGGCTACTGTTCCACAACTTCTTATGCTTCTATAAAAGAAACATAATGATGTGATTAAATATTTTCTAGATTGTATGCTTGGCGAATATTAAGGGTGTCTCGAAGCATTAAATCCCGCAGGCGCCAGAGGGCATCTGCCATGGTGGTATGGGCTCCTTTACTTTTGAGCCAGTGAGAGGGTAGACGGCTTTCCTGTTCTTTTGACAAATGGACATCCCTTCTTCGAGCTGAAAATTAAAGTGCAGAGAGAGACACAAATTATAATTTTATGGTGACAAAGTACCCCTCAGTTCTAAGGGCTGATAGGTTTACTAAAACACAAAACACTTAGTATTTATTAAGTATTGTGAATTTTAGATCCAGAATATGTCTAAGGAGATTTCTTATTTCATTTGGCACTAAAAGATGATCTGATCATTAATACTGTAGGTGCCCTAACATTTAATAATTACTTCAATGTTAATAAAAAAGTAAATATGTGAAAAAAAGGAAAAACTTACCTTCTACTTTTATCAAGGGGTTTAGAAACAAGTAAAAACTTCCGATTTCCTCTCCACAAACTAGGTAAGTTATTTCAGTATGTACTAAAAATATATTGTCTGTTGAACTAAATGAGTAATTTGATAGGCTACTGGAAACACACTTTTCTATTTTTTAAAAAGTAAATTTGACATCTACACTAATACCTAATATCTGAAAAATAACTGAAAAAATTAAAAATATACTTGAAAAGATGATGCTTATAACAAAGCTAGGGTTTGAATTTTGTCTAAGAACCCCACTTTCAGTGTGCTGTCAATATGCAAAGAAGCTCCAAACCATTCTATGATGTATGACTTGTTTTACTGGTATAATAAAAAGGGATGTTTGCTGTACAAGAGCCAACTGCAGCTAGAGGACTAGGAGGAAGCAAGCATTTCACAAATATACTCTTTACCTGCCAGAGTTTGGTCCCACTTGCTAATGCTGCTGGACTCAGCACTGAGTCCTTCGATGTATTTCAGGTAGGCCTCTGAGTGGAGAAGCCGCTGGGTCTTCGGAGGGGGAGCCACAAACATGGGTGTTGTTGGCTGCTGTATGACAGGAGGGCCGGCTGGATGTGGGCTGGGATATGGAGGTGGTGCCTGCTGCCCTGGAGGTCCTAAAACTCCCACCTAAAAGAGCACAGGACTACATGGTGAGGCAAAAAGATACTCTGCACATGTTCTAAGAAGGAAGATGACTAAAATTCTGTTGAGTCCTAGGAAAATAAATGGCGTGAGTGGGTGGGGAGCTCACCTGTTGTCCATATGGACTTCCACCTGGTGCTGGAGTCCCGACCATAGGGGTCACTCCTTGGTTCATCACACCTGTAATTCAGAAGGCAGTGGTACAATTAGAGGGTCTGGGTTAAGCTGAGTGAAAAACTACTGTCTGATAAGAAATGATGCCATTTATAATGCCAACCTATGTACCTTTGCCCTTGAGTGTGGACAGGAACCCTAAACATCCAAAGCAGGATTCAAATAGAAATTTTGTATTGTTTCTATGTTATTAAAGCACAATGCTAGTAGAACTTGTCAGAAGTACATCAATTCCTCAAGGCTTAGCACTGATTGGAACACTACATAAAATTCTAGTGTGTCCCTAGATGAACTAAAGTTAGAATATGGCTCTGTTTCTAAGGTACTTTTCTGACAACACATTCTTTTGCAATAGGAGCCTGTGTTGAATTTCAGCAGGAAGGATATTGGAATCAGGCTCAGCAGTAACCAATGTGCTAAGATAGCAGGGACAAAAGAGGCTGTGGAAGTGCAGTCAACTGAGCTTTATGGAAGTTGGAGGCAACTGGCTTGCTATCTCTTATAGGCCACCAGCATCTGGTTCTATCTGAAGTCACTAATGGCAGAGGACATTTCAATGGATGATGTGGAAGTTGGAGTAGCCTTGTTAGTATCAATTCAGGTACAAAATGAGAAAGGAACAGAGAAAGACCTCATGGTCCTATTTGTACTATCTCTTGTAATAACTTTGTTTTTGTTGGTATTGAGGTTTGTACTCAGTGCCTTTCACTTGGTAGGCTGGTAAGTTAGTAAACTTCCCTTGGTGAATGTTCACAAGAACTGATGTCTCACAAGCACTAACTGATAATAATGGGATATCCTAAATGAAGCTCTTTTTATCTCAGTGTCACTCATTTGCTATTCCAGTACGACACAGAAATAAGCAAGGGACATACCCAGTTCATCAAAAACTAACAAACAAGCCACAACAAAAACCTGCCTTTTAAAGGTGAGCTGTTTTTTTTAAAGCTTAAATAAGTCCTGTTGGCTATGTAGAAGGACCAAAATGAACACATCATTTGATCAGTCAGAAACAGCTCTGAGAACTATTTAGAATTTAGGTTCAGAGTTGTTAAATGCCACTTCCAGGAAGTATTAGGCACACTCGTATTTGTTAGCGAGAAAGAAAAAAATAAAAGCTTCTGTTTAAAAAATAGGGGTTTTTATATTCCAAGTACTCAGAAGTGTACCGAGGATCCTGATGATTACAAATGAACTCAGAAGTGGTAGTGGGTAAGCTTCTGCTCCAGAAACATTTAGTAGCCCCCGTCTTCCCATTTTGGACACTTACCCACCTTAGACTCTACACAGAGAGGCTCCCTAAGCTGCCTACATCATTGCTTTGAAGGGCAGCACAAGCAAATCAGTAAACCTGTCTGCTTCCTCTGTTTATAACTGTAATACCAGGGGCAATCAGTGAGCATGTGAGCTGAGACAGTACTGGTGCTCCCTCAATCCTTGGCTCCTTGAAGCCAGCTCAGACATGAGCATGCATCAAGAGGGTTCTTCCCTGTTCCCCTGACAATAACCAGGTGTGTTGTGCTTCCTTCCAATGTAACTTAGAATCTGAAGGAGGAAGAAGAGAGGGTAACTATGCCACAACACCCACCCAAAACCACCTGCCACTGAGGTAGTACTGGCCTTAGGGCTCCCATCAAGTACTATATACATCTAGAAGGTGTTAAGTCCAATATGGTCTTAATGACTCTGATAAGATACCCCATGCTACTGTGTGAGGGCACCAAATCAGGGCCAAATTCACCTGCCACACAGGAACAACTATTTTATGATTGACCCCTGTTGCCACAGCAATTCACGCAACAGGTCAACCATTTCTAAAATGAAGTATCCACTTGACACACATTTCCTTTTCTAGGGATATATTGGGGAAAAAAAAATGCTGTGGTGGAGTTGCAGTCATTCTCTAACCAATACTCACAAAAGGGTGTGTTTGACAGCTGGGCACAGTGGTACCCAACACTTGGGAGGCTGAGGCAGGAGGATTACAAGTTTGAGGCCAGACCAAGCTACCAGGTTTAGTCAACCTACACAGTGCTGGACCCATCCTCTGAAGCATTGTTTGGAAGCCTGAAAAACCCTATGGTTAGTAGGGTCAACACTGGCATAAGCAACCCTGACAATTTCCATCTATATTTTTTTCCTTTTTTTTTTTGCAGTATTGGGGCTTAAACTCAGGACCTACATCTTGAGCCATTCCACCAGCTTTTTTTGTGAAGTTTTTTTTCTTTTTTTTAATCGAGATAGGGTCTTGAGAGCTATTTGCCTGGGCTGGCTTTGAACCGAGATCCTCCTGATCTCTGCCTCCTGAGTAGCTAGGATTACAGGCATGAGCTACCCCGGTGCCCGGCTTTCAATCTACATTTTTATCTGAGTTGGGCCCTTAGATATTTTAAGGCACAAATGCTGCTTCAAGTCATCTAAAGGAGACATTCCCGCTAACTAGCTTATAGCCAAGAATTCTTTCTTTTGCAAATTTGGAACTTGAGATTTTCCTCTAAGCATTCTTTAAAATATAATCTTTCAATTTATTAAATCATCATAAAGTGAAACTGAATATAACTTTCTGAACTCCATTTATATATTACTACATGAAAGAACTTGAGCTTCTGTGACAAACTGGTGTCTACAGCTAGTAGGGTGGGCTAGGCTGTTTGTTCTTTATTGTTTTACTTTTTGGCGGTACTGGGGTTTCAATTCAGGTTGTCTTGCTTGCTAGGAATGTGCTTTACCACTTGAGCAACTCCACCAGCCCTAGGCTGTTCTTTAAAATGTTGTATCATACTACTTAGAGGATTCAGATATACAAAACTAATTAAAATGCAAATTCCTTCCCGCCTTCCTTTGTGTTCTCAAGACAGACTGAGTAAAGAATTTCTAAAGAGTTTTATAAAAGTAACTCTGATCTCCTTAGAAAAGGGCTGCTTGAGGAAGAGGAGATGGAGCAGGGACTCTATATTGGAGACCCTGTGAGAGAAGAATTGTACCAGATGAAGAAATGCACTCAGGAGCAAACAGTACTTTTATACATGAGTGGCAATTTGGGAAACTCCATTCACTGATAAGAGGGTGTGGCCTTGTAAGCTAGATGACTTTTCGAATACATGTCATATTGTCTGAGTGGCAGTGTCTGGCCTTTGCCATACACCTTGTGCTGATGCCAGGCAACCAAGTACACAAGGGCACAGGTGCTAGATCACCTGCTGAACACATAGGATGGACCCTTTTGCTGATGGCTCTGGGATTCTCAGTGAGGGAGGCATGGCCACAACAGGCACCAGCTGCCTCTGGGAACAACTGGCTGAGGAAGAAAAAAGAAAATATGAAGATGAGATTAATGAGTGAATGAAAATGAAGTTCTTACCCGGTGGTGGGATGCCCGGGAGGCCGGGCACACCTGGCGGAAGATGGTGGGGTGGAGGCCCCCCAGGGTGAAGTGGCTGCATGCTGCCCATGCTAACAAGGCCATCAACTGGGCCCTGCAAAGGTGGAAGGCCTGGCGGATAGCCACCCATCATGCCTTGAAGGACACAACAAATTTCAGACATGCATCATTAACATGCAACACGAGCTAAGTAATAACAACTCCCTTCCCACCCCATGCACTACCAATGAATAAAGCACCCTTAGTACTGCATGATATAACGGTAATTAGTGCAATTATTTTGTTGCAACAATGAACAAAATAAAAAGTTATAAATACAAAACCCAACATTTGTGGATGAATTAGTACTTAGTACATTATTATTTGTAGTTATTCTCACTGGGATAAATATGCTGCATGTTCTCACTTAAATAATAACAAAGAGGAGTTCTAGTAACAGCCTTTTCAGGGTCAGAAACTGCAAGCTGTTCAAGCAGAGTGACCAGTTCTGTTGACTTAGACTCCAATAGAACAGTCTACACCCCATCATTCCACTCTGCCCACACTCATATACCTATCACGGGTACACACCAGGGGAAGTCAGAATGGAGGGAAATGAGATGCAGAGCCCTGATCACAAAGCATGGTTCTCCAGCTTGAGGGCAAGAATTTTTCAAGATTTCTACATCTACTCTTCCTCCCTTCTAACCCCACCACCACTAGTAGTACTGGATTGTGCTAGGGTTTGAGCTGGGGAACAGCTTCTAACAACCATCACAATGAACGATGTTTCATGTTTAGATCTCAAAACATGTTAAAGACAAATCTAAATCCTCCCAAGCCAAGTAAAGCGCAGGTCACTCAGAAGCCTACATGTAAGTGTTAAGGAGGAATGGCTGGAGAATCAGGCTATGCTGATTTGAGAAAATACCAGTTGTCATCACTGTCTCCAGGCTCACAAATGTCCTTGCATAAACCTTCAGTTGATAGGGGGCATTTTATTTGTGGTACAGAATTTCTGTGAACAGAGGTTTTTAATTCCTTTATTTTCAAAACATACCTTCACATAACAAAACAACTTCTGCTGGCTAGGGAAGAGTTTTAGCAAACAAGTATTTTTGGCAAAAGGGATGAAAATAAGAAAATTTCAAAATGTCAAGGACTCACCTATTGAAAGAGCTTTAAAATCACATGGCATTTAAAAAAAAAAAAAAAAACCACACCAAAAACAAGAAAAACAACTTGACTTTTCTGGGATTTGTAATGATCACGATGAATAAGAACACAAAGTTCCCCCGGGAGTGCAGTCACTTTCGGTCACAGCTTCTCACAAAAGAAGGGTAACTAGAGCCAAACCTCATTTTAATAAAATACTCTTTGAAGAGGAACTCTGAGAGACAGTGGAAAACTCCAGATTTTGAGAATTTCACTTTTTGACTTCCCTGTATTTGAGAAGTATTTATTTGTACATGATTGTACAAGTTGTCTTTTAAAGCTAGGACATTACTGAAAACTCTCAAGACTGACTGAGTCATTCTGCTTTCCTAGTCATAGCTAAACTGACTGAAAAACTTATAACTGCATAAAATGATAAAACAATTTGAAACAACATCTCCATACATGAAATAGGATGTTTCATGTTTTTTAGCAATTAAGAGTTCAGAGTAAAAACTACTTTTGAACAAACAACATCATCTTAAACATGAGGAGATCTAATGCTGCCAAAACTGCTTTTTAACCACACCACCAGGTATAGCTTTTTAGGGGTAAGTAGGTGAGAAATGTAAGAATGTTAGGAGGCTTTGCTTTCAATTACAAAAGCCCATCTGAACGCAGCCTTCATGGGCTGTAGTTGAAGATTACTAAGAACTGAAAGACGTGGCACTTGTCTTCATTAAACTGTACTTTGGCATTTATTATCCCAGTCACATGTGTTCAAATGAGCTTCAATGCTTGTAAGCAAAGCTGGTCTCAGACAGCAACAAGGCTAAGAATCAGTCCCTAAGCAACCTGTAAGCCCATGAAAAATCATCCTTTTTGCTGCAAAGTTCCCACTGTGGATCAAAGACTGGTTACTGTAAAGAATGCTGCCATTCACTCCCATGGCCCAGAAGTCTGGGCAGAATACCCTTAGTAACAGAGTAGGGGCTTTCTAGAGGGCCCACCCTCCTCAACCACAGAACTCTATGTTATTCCCCAACAGGGAGCTAAAATGCTGCAGCTGCTGTTTTTTGTTTTCATTTTGTTAATATGTCCCTGGGTTTTGCAGTCAAGGGCACAGTGCCACAATATCACACATCAAATAGAACAAAACAATGTCAATAAGGGAATTCTAACTTTCAAAGTCCCCATGTTCGAGGCCTGATTTCTAAAAACCTCTGGAACCCCATTAACCAAAATGGGCCATGGAATAGAGCAGGCGGATTATGAGATTTGTTAGATTGACATCAGTTACATTGAAAGTACTGAAAGTCAGGATTCAGATAATGCTTTGGCGAGTGCAACTGCTGAGTTCAGCGACAGTGCATTTGAGAATTTGCCATCACAAAAGTTAGGAGCGACAATGGAAAAGTTATCCTATGCTACTCTTCCTTAAAAAGCAAAAACAAAAACAGCATCCCAACGAACCTGCCTTGAACAACACTGTCCTAGACTCCCTGCAGAAGACTACTTGCTTAAGAAGAATCACAGGTGGCTTGTACAGAGCTCACCAGACATGGGGAGATCACAAAAGTGGGGCCTGAGAGGTGGTATGCAGGCTTCTCACTGGAGACATGTCAGACGAGATATTCAATTCAAGAATAATCAAATTTGCTATGGCAACCAGAACCAGAGACAACACACACAAGCAAACCACATTCATCATTTTCTTTCTGTTCTTTTTGTTTAAATATGTGACTGGGATACTAACAGAAAATGCAGTTTAATGTAATTAAATAGAAAAGCATTACAGAGTGGGCACAATGAATTGAATAAGGACTTTTTTTTTTTTTTTTTTGTATTTAGCAGTCATGCACACTGGTGACCAAGAAAGGATTTTTAAATGGTCAGTCTTTTAAGAATGGCTGCAGCAGAACAAGGCAAACTGAATACTAGCATGAGACAGAAAATCAACACCATCTAAAGATTGCTTTTGTGTTTTCTCTTGGAGTTCTCTAGAACAGAATTCAGGATCTATTTATATTTTCTGCTGTAGTGCTCTATCAAGAGCAGTCTGGGCTAAGAATATCACCAGACCATGCCCACAGCCAGGGAAGAGCTGGTCCCTACCAATTCCCAGGGTTGGGCCCAGGGCCCATTTCTGGGACAGAAAGGAGGCATTGCCCATATGGGAAAGGCAATATAGGACAACATGGATGACCTCAAACTTTGAATCTGTCATGAGAAAAGGCTACAGACTGTGGCCTACTCCTCTTGGAGAAAAAAAAAAATGAAGGAATTTCTTAAAGTGGAAAAAAATGGTCTTAGCTCCTGTTTTTACCTGCAACAGGTGTCAACTGCTGATTGAGCATCCCCATTGGTGTTGGTGGTGGCACCACCCCCATGAGAGCCCCCACAGGGGTGCCTGCTCGGGGAGAAGCACTCGGCTGCTGTTGCTGTGCTGCTCGCTCTCTCTCCTGCTGCTCAGCAACTTTAGCTGCCCGCTCTGTAAAGGCATTTCAGATTTTCAATTCTGTTTTTAACCCAGGAATTCAAAATACCATCCATTGCATTCAACAGGACTAGTAAAAACACAGGCAACAGTTCTGTCTCAATGGAAGGAACAGACACAGGAGGAGTCGGGCCGATTTCACTTGGTAACCTAGAATCCAGCTTTCCTATCCCATCTTGAGAACTGGTCTGCAAAGATTTCAAGAATGTTAAGACTGCAACACACATTCAGAAAGCACAGGTTTTATTTAAACACATCACCAGCGTAACCACTGTGGTTAATCTCACGAGGCACCCTGAAGATGAGAAGCACTACCATTATTCTAGATTAATAGCATTACAGATTATTTATAATTTCAACATGAAGCAATTCCATGGCCCATTATAATTTTTGGCACAATTGTTACTTACTATATTTTCCTGAATCCTTGTACCCAATTTTACTAAGATTTGAGGAATCTTATCATTAGCGTCACAGGTTTAGCAGCTGAAGAAAATTAACTCTGTAAGGGAAAAGAAGCTTACTGCCTCTTCCACAAAACTTTGTGGAAAGTAAACAGCCAATTTCTATACTCTGATGAAGCAAAGAGTTCATGTTTAATAAACCCAAGGGAAAAATGCATGATACTCTAGGCTACAATTATCAGAAGAGGGAATTGTAACAATGGACAATGTTCTGAAAGAATCAGGTTTCCTAAAGCTGAGCAGTTCACAGATGACCCGTTCAAAACTCACATTAATCATCTTAAATCTGTACGAATTCCAGAATCCACTCTTATTTCACCCAAAACATGAGAGGAACATTTGCTAGTGGAACTTCTGGGCTTTTACCTGACAACCCCCTTAATTCCTTGAGCTACTCTGCCTCTCCAGAGCTACCAGCCCCAAAATCATGTTCCTAGCAGGCTGGGCCCTTTTACTGAAGGGGAATTACCAAGGCTCCCACCATACAGGGTTTATTCTACTTCACCATTCTAAGTAGGAAATCTTTTCTACTCTTCAGATGGGCAAAAAGAGGCTGGGAGAGAGAGGTAGTGACTTGTCCAAGGATACAACGAGAACCAGCAACCCATGGCCCTGACCCCTGATATTATATTCCAGCTGCCGCACATTACCCCTCTAACATAGAACTCAAAAGGCTTTAGCTATCTGAAGATAGGGAAAATAGCTCGAGCTCACATGGCTTTAAAGAGAATCAAGAAGCAACAGCGCTCCAGTCCTCCTTTAAGGTTAGAATGTGAAAGTCAAGCAAGTCAAATGCCCCTTGGCTGTGACAAGAGTTGCCAGCAGAAACTTATCATCACTCACTAGCACTGTCCTAGTTTATACATCTACTATAAACTGAGTACAATGAGTGTGAGGAATAATAGCCATTTGAACAACCTGTTTTCCTGAGCTTACAGTAGAAAAACCAAAACCAAAAAACAAAACAAAACAAAAAAAAACCCCAAAAACCAAAAAAACACCATTGATGATCTAGACCTCCACTTTAAATTCTAGTATTTCCATTACACAAATAGCATAGTAAATGAGAGAAAAAAAAAAAAACCAAAAATGTTGGAAAAACAAACATTAGGCCTGTAGACTAAATATTGGATTGGTTACCTGTGTCTTGGAAAACAAAATGAGTAAAACTAAGGGAGCCAAACTCCCAACTTTGGGTTTTGAGTTCAGTGGCTGAAAACACCAAAAGTTCAGAGTTTTAGTCTCAGGTGGATGCTGCTGAGTCATGTAATTCATCCTCACTAGGTTCTTCCTGAATTTCAGATTCCCTGTTGAATTTGGGAGAATCTCCTGTAAGCCATTATTTCTCCCTCCCTTCAGCTATACTCCAGTGTTTCTGCCTTTACATTATTTCCAGGCCTTTCTCTCTTGTTCACATCCTATTAGTACTGGCTTTACTTGTCTTGGAAGAGGCTTTATACCCATGTTACCTTAATTTTCAACACTCCTCCAAGTAAGTGGCATATTTAGTCTTAACTTGCAGTAAAATCGGAAATATCAAAGCTCCCCAAAATTCTAGGTTCTTATGGAAATGAGTAGGGTTTCTCGAAGAAATAGTTCTACAAAATAGTTCTTCAGGATATTAATAGATATTGCAGGAATACCTGGTCAAATTTTAGAAAATGCCAGATAATAAAAAACAAAACAAAACAGGTTAGTTACTTTATGTAGGTCTTAGAGACTTTAACAGGGGACTATGCACTGTAAGTTTCAAAGAGGCAAGAGTTTGGAATGCTTCTCAAATTGGTTTTGCCATAAAGTGTTTCCTGGCTATGCATCTTGTAGGGTTAGGCTGCTGCAGACAGAAGATCCTTAGGGAAGCCTGTCTGGTAATTTTAAAATTATCAATCAATAACAACAAGTTAAAGGAGTAAAACCATAAAAAAAATCTTAAGAGAGCAGCAGCCTCAGTAATTTATGTTTGCTGGAAAATAGTGGATTTGGGCTGAGCCAAGAAGACCACTGTAGAAAGGTTAGCTCTAAACCAGCAAAATGAACAAATATATAAAATTCCAAAAGGAAAAAATACAGCTCATAGGGTGAACATCCTGCCTAATCTAATTTATACTCTCTTCTTTATTAAAGCCATCACTGATATTTACAACAACAAAAACAAACAAAAAAATTTCTTTCAAGTATTTGTCCCTAGTGACTAAGAACCACCAAATCCTTAAATGACAGCTCATGGCCCAAAGTGATTTAATCATATAATAAAAGGAAAATAAAGGCAGTTGAGCTTCACCAAAATACCCCCAAGTACCTTAACAGTAGCAATGAATATACACACAGCACAGAACTGGCCTAGGAAACCAGGAGTTTCAACCAAGCCTTAAGCCTAGAGTTTAAACACACAGCTGATCAAGAGCCAAAGCAGAAGATCAGCAATTTAAAAAATGCTTCTTACAGATGAATTTTAATCAAAATTAATTTTAACATCATTGTATAATCATTCCCCAGCTCAACATATGAGTGCTTATAGGGCTCAATGAAGGAAGAAAATCATGCCATTTTTAATAGTAAAATATTTTTCTTTGAGGAGAAGGGAAATAACACCACGCACAGAGACCAAGTCAGGGGAAGCACTCAGCTTAGTCAAGATCAAGAAAATGTTTGGCATCTAAACTGCTGAATGGGTACTAACTGAAACAGTCCCCAACACAAAGTTCATGTGCATGTGATAAGAACAAGAGAGCAATACCTGTCTATGCACATGCATTCCTGAAAACACACCCTTGCTCAGAAAACTGACAGTTGTGCCTAGTCTCTATTTACCTTCATATTCTGCTTTCTTGGCTGTCTCAAGGTTTCTCCATTCTGTCCCCACCAGTCGGCTGAGCTCCCCGAAAGAGTAGTCTGGGTGCTGGGCCTTAATCACAGCTCTCATCTCACTGCTGAACAGGATGTAGCCACTCATATTGATTTTTCGTTTGGAGCCTTCCTTCTTTGCACTGCCTTTGGCAGACTTTGGAGTAGACTGTAAGACAGAAAGCTCTTATAGTGGATCAGAACATTGCATTTGGTTAACTGTTCAGTGTTTCTGGAAGTCAGGAACATATGATCCAATGGTTACTCTTTTATAGACACATTTAGCCTGCAGTTGGCCATTTTCTTGGTCAAAATATACCTCTTCCTTGCCTCTTACCATGTAAGAAATGAATGAAAGTTTCATTGAATTCCATGACTGTGACCTCACAATTAGATCTTGAGAAAATTCTTTTTTTTTTTTGAGATACTGGGGCTTGAACTCAGCACCTTCACCTTGAGCCACTCCACCAGCCTTTTTTGTGATGGGCTGTCAGCCTGGGCTGACTTCGAACCGCGATCCTCCTGACCGCTGCCTCCTGAGTAGCTAGGATTACAGGCGTGAGCCACTGGCGCCAGGCAGAGGAAATTCTTAACAAGAAAAATGTATAATGGGATCACTTTCAACAACCAAAAGATAAAGTCCTAAGAAAGGAGAGATTAAAAAGAAACAGGTGGGGGCTGGTGGAGTAGCTAAAGGAGTAAGAGCACCTGCCTAGCAAGCGTGAAATCCTGAGTTGGACCCCAGTACTGCCAAAGATACCCCAAAAAAACAAAATAAAACAAAACATGGCTGGCTGGGTGTTGATGGCACATGCCTGTAATCCCAGCACTTGGGAGGGAGGTAGAGGCAGGAAGATTATGAGTTTCGAGGCCAGTCTCAGCTACACAGAGAGACCCTGTCTCAAAAAAAAAAGAAAAAAGACACAGGATACAATGATGCCTTTCCTTACTGTTTTTCTTCAATACGAGGCAAGGAAAACCTCCTAACTAACTGCAATTAAACTAGCTCTATGATAGTCAAGAAATTAAAATTAAAATCATTAATTGCTTAATGAAACGATAAATATAATTTTTTTGTCAATTAAAAATAAAGGGGAGGAAGCATGATGAATGATGGAGGGGGTTAATCTAACCACGGTAAATTGTAAGCCTATTTGAAAATGTCACAATGAAACTCCCCTGTACAACTAATATATGCCATTAAAAATGTCAGAAGAAAGAAAGAGAAACAGAAAGGTAGGAAGGCACTGACAAACAAAAAAACCCCTGTCCTTTCCTATAGAACTCTAGGTAGACGCTTTGGAGGGGCTAGATGTCTTTTTACTTTGGTTTGAGTATGGTGCAAACCAAAGCTGAGAACAAGACAATTTACAGGACATGTCCCCTTCACCTGTGGGGGTGTGTAGGGCATGAGGTCCAGCTCACTGGCCAGGGGGGTCTGAAGCTGAGGTAGAGAAGGAGGTTCAATGACCTCACTATCTTCTTCTCCCATCTCTTCAATATCATCATCTCCACCTTCTAATTCGGCAAATTTAGCTTCTAGCAATTGGATCTTCTTTTCCAACAAAGGTGAGGGCTCCTTCTGAGGAACAATTGGTTTTCTGAAAGAAGTGATATAAAAAAATAAAACCACTCCAGGTGCTGGTACTCACGCCTGTAATCCTAGCTACTCAGGAGGCAGAGATCAGGAGAGTTGAGGTTCAAAGCAGCTCTGGCAAACAGTTCGTAAGACCTTAATTCAAAACTACCCAACACAAAAGGGCTTGCAGAGTAGCTCAAGTGGCAGAGTGCCTTGCCCAGCAAGCATAAAGCCCTGAGTTCAAGCTCCAGGATTGGAGATAAATAAAATGAAATGAAATAAAATAAAAGCACCAAAACCACTCCAGGACTGGTCAGAAAGCAGTGTTCTACCTTAATGTCTAGGAATTACTTCCTGTAATCTGCACTATACACTCTAAGGGTAACAAGGGAGCTTAAATGGGTATTTATGAAGTTACCTCTACAGACCAGCTTCTGTTGTTTTTATTAAAAGATTATGAAAAATACCCACAGAAGCACTGGATCAGATCTAGTTGCCTATATACGGGGAAGAGTTTTCATAATCTCTGTAACTGAGCAATCTGTTAACAGACAGGATATGAACCAGAACCAAGTATTTCTGCCGCCAATCTATAATTACTGGAGTCTAACCTAAGGATACTATTAGAGCAGTTACCAGGTTCTAACAGATTATGAAGATTTTCCTTTGATCTTTAACTAAATTAACACTTTCTATTTAAATTTATACCACTCTAGTTTAATATCTAATAGAAAAAACCCACTCCAAACATTGGGCTACACTATTTTGATATGAATTAGCCGAAGTGTTCTTTCTTAGTATTTCAAGCTTTACCTGAAGTAGTAAATTTCATCATCTACCACTTTAGCAGAAAGTGAAAACCTCTTCAGTCCCTTGAATTTCTTCATCTGCTTGTCACTCTCATTGTAGCGGCTCTCACAAAGCAGAATGTCATTTTCTGGTATTTCAGTTGGCCTGCAGGAGAGGAAGTCCTTGAATGACAACACAGCACACTTTCCTGAAAGAGTAAGTTGGAGAGAAATTAAAGAAATAAACTGTGGTCACAGTTAACCATTTTGATTTAAAAAAATTATTTTAAATTAATACATTCATAATTCATAAAGATAATACAAACATACAGATCAATAGAATATAATTAGAAGTCTAGAAATAAACCTATACAATTGGACAACTGGATTTCCACATGCAAAAGAGTAAGTTGGATTGTTACTTCATACCATTTACAAAAATTAATTCAAAATGGATCAAAGACTTAAATGTGAGACAACTATAAAGCTCTTAGAAGAAACCTATGTGTAAATCTTTGTGACCTTTGATCAGGCAATGGTTTCTTAGACGTGACACCAGAAGAGCACCAAAAGCTACAGAAAATAAAGATAAATTAGAACTCATCAGCATTAAAAATTTTTGTGCTTCAAAGGAAACTATTAAGAAAGTAGAAGGGCAATTAACAGAAGAAAATATTTGCAAATCATATATTTAGTAAGGATCTAGTATCTAGAATATAAAGAATTCCTACAACTTAACAATTATAAGACCCTGGCTGGAGGTATGACTCAAACAGTAGAGTACCTGTCTTGTAAATTGAAGCCCTGAGTTCAAACCCCAATCCTGCCAAAACCAACAAAATAAACACAACAAAAAACAATTACAGGACCCAATTAAGGGCTGGAGGCATGGCTCAAGCAGTCGAGCACCTGCCTCTCAAGTGCAAAGCTGTGAGTTCAAACCCCAGTACCACCAACAAATAAATTAAAAAAACCTAAAGAACCCAATTAAAAAAAGGGCAGAAGATCTCAACAGACATTTCTCCAAAGATATATGAATGATAACTAAATAGACAAAACAATGTTCAACATCATTAATCATTAGGGAAATGCAAATAAAATCACAATGTGATACATTTCAGACTCATTGGGGGAAAAAAAAACAAGTGTTGGTACAGATGCAGAGAAATTGAATCCTTGTATTCATGGAGGGATTATAAAATGATACAAATGCTATGGAAAACAAATGGCAGTTCCTCAATAAAATTAAATAGGGTGGTGGTGTGGTAGAGCTTCTGCCTAGCTAGTGCAAGGCCAAAAGTCCAAACTCCAGTAGTATTACCAAAAAAAAACAAGGCTCAAATACTTGTAAACCAATCATCATAGCAGCATTATTTATAGTACAAACAACTGAAATATCCTTCGACAGATGAATGGACAAACAAAATGTGAAATATACATATTATGGAGTATTATTCAGACTTAAAATTGAATAAAATTATGATGCACTGTCTGGTCCTTCCCTATGCTTTTGATGCTATTGTCAACTAGCAACTACTGTCTGCATGCTACACCATGGATGAACCTTGAAAACATTATGGTAAGTAAAATAAGTTAGACACAAAAGGATACTTACATACAGAATATGCAAAACTCATACAGAGAGAAAGTAGAAAAGAGATTACTAGGGGCACTATGGAGGAAGAAAAATAAAATTATTGTTTAATGGGCACAGAGTTTCTATTTGGAATAAAAAAATTTCTAGAAATAGTGATGATGGTTATACAACATTGTCAATGGACTTAATGCCACTGAACTGTATGCCTAAAAATGGCCAAAATTGTTAATTTTATGTTATTTATATAAAAAATAAACTCCCATAAATGATAGCATATTATTTATAGTCTTTTTTTTTCCCTGTGGCATGGAGTTTGAACTCAGGGCTTCATGCTTACAAAGTAGACACTTTACCACTTGAGCCACACCTCTAGTCCATTTTGCTCTGGTTATTTTGGAGATGGGGATTTCTCAAACTATTTGTCCAGGCTGGCATTGAACTGAGATCCTCCCAATCTCAGCCTCCCAAGAAGCTAGGATTATAGGTGTGAGCCACCAGTGGCTGGTTCCTTATAATGTCTTAAATCTAAATATTGTCATAAAAGGTTGTTTCCAAATTTCTGCTTTCCTGTGTAAGCTGAAAAATGCTGAGATCAATAATTTAACACACTATCCATTTTTTTACATGTGTGAATACATCTTAAGTATAAATTTCACAAAATACAAAAATTGGGTCAAAGGATACGTATACTTTCATTTTTATAGGCATTTCAAATTATCTTCCATAGAGGCTATACTAACTTATAGATCAGCACAAAGTAGGCAATCTTTTTGTTTGCCTTGTTTTTTTGAGACATGGCCTCACTTTGTAGTCCAGGTTGGCCTAGAACTAATAATCCTTCTGCCTATGTCTCCTCAGTGCTGGAATTACAGATGTGCCCCATCATGTCCACCACCTTCCCTATGCTTTTTTTTTTTTAATTCATTTATTTTGGCAGTACTGAGGTTTGAACTCAGTACTCAAAGAATTTAAGGCCTCATACATGCTAGGCAAGCACTCTACTACTGAAGTACAACACCAGACCTAAATAGTTTTCATTAATGTAGCTTATAATGTTTTACTATCTTCCTTACCTTTTTAGAATTTTCCTGATGCTTATTTTGTTTCAATTCCTCACTTGAAAATTCCCACTGGGATTACAGTAAAGATTACTTTAGGGAGAACAGACATCTTTACAATGCTGAAATCTGTTCAATCACATTTCAATTTATTCCAGCCATTTTTTTAAATTTTTATTGTTTTTATTATTCATATGTGCATACAATGCTTGGGTCATTTCTTCCCCCTGCCCCCACCCCCCTCCCTTACCACCCACTCTGCCCTCTCCCTCTCCCCCCCCAGCCCCTCCATACCCAGCAGAAACTATTTTGCCCTTCTCTCTAATTTTGTTGAAGACAGAATATAAGCAATAATAGGAAGGAACAAGGGTTTTTGCTAGTTGAGATAAGGACAGCTATACAGGGAGTTGACTCACATTAATTTCCTGTGCATGTGTGTTACCTTCCAGGTTAATTCTTTTTGATCTAACCTTTTCTCTAGTTCCTGGTCCCCTTCTCCTATTGGCCTCAGTTGCTTTTAAGGTATCTGCTTTAGTTTCCTGTGTTGAGGGCAACAAATGCTAGCTAATTTTTAGGTGTCTTACCTATCCTCACCCCTCCTTGTGTGCTCTCGCTTTTATCATGTGCTCAAAGTCCAATCCCCTTGTTGTGTTTGCCCTTGATCTAATGTCCACATATGAGGGAGAACATACGATTTTTGGTCTTTTGGGCCAGGCTAACCTCACTCAGAATGATGTTCTCCAATTCCATCCATTTACCAGCGAATGATAACATTTCTTCTTCTTCATGGCTGCATAAAATTCCATTGTGTATAGATACCACATTTTCTTAATCCAGTCGTCAGTGGTGGGGCATCTTGGCTGTTTCCATAACTTGGCTATTGTGAATAGTGCCGCAATAAACATGGGTGTGCAGTGCCTCTGGAGTAACCTGTGTCACAGTCTTTTGGGTATATCCCCAAGAGTGGTATTGCTGGATCAAATGGTAGATCAATGTTTAGCTTTTTAAGTAGCCTCCAAATTTTTTTCCAGAGTGGTTGTACTAGTTACATTCCCACCAACAGTGTAAGAGGGTTCCTTTTTCCCGCATCCTCGCCAACACCTGTTTGTGGTGTTGCTAATGATGGCTATTCTAACAGGGGTGAGGTGGAATCTTAGTGTGGTTTTAATTTGCATTTCCTTTATTGCTAGAGATGGTGAGCATTTTTTCATGTGTTTTTGGCCATTTGAATTTCTTCTTTTGAGAAAGTTCTGTTTAGTTCACTTGCCCATTTCTTTATTGGTTCATTAGTTTTGGAGAATTTAGTTTTTTAAGTTCCCTATATTTCTGGTTATCAGTCCTTTGTCTGATGTGTAGCTGGCAAATATTTTCTCCTACTCTGTGGGTGTTCTCTTCAGTTTAGAGACCATTTCTTTTGATGAACAGAAGCTTTTTTAGCTTTATGAGGTCCCATTTATCTATGCTATCTCTTAGTTGCTGTGCTGCTGGGGTTTCATTGAGAAAGTTCTTACCTATACCTACTAACTCCAGAGTATTTCCTACTCTTTCCTGTATCAACTTTAGAGTTTGGGGTCTGATATTAAGATCCTTGATCCATTTTGAGTTAATATTGGTATAGGGTGATATACATGGATCTAGTTTCAGTTTTTTGCAGACTGCTAACCAGTTTTCCCAGCAGTTTTTGTTGAAGAGGCTGCTTTTTCTCCATCGTATATTTTTAGCGCCTTTGTCAAAGATAAGTTGGTTATTAGTTGTGTGGCTTCATATCTGGGTCCTCTATTCTGTTCCACTGGTCTTCATGTCTGTTTTTGTGCCAGTACCATGCTGTTTTTATTGTTATTGCTTTGTAATATAGTTTGAAGTCAGGTATCGTGATACCTCCTGCATTGTTCTTTTGACTGAGTATTGCCTTGGCTATTCGTGGCCTCTTGTGTTTCCATATAAATTTAACGGTAGATTGTTCAATCTCTTTAATGAATTGTCATGGGAATTGCATTAAACATGTAGATTACTTTTGGGAGTACAGACATTTTTACTATGTCGATTCTACCAATCCATGAGCATGGGAGATCTCTTCACTTTCTATAGTCTTCCTCAATCTCTTTCTTCAGAAGTTTATAGTTTTCCTTTTAGAGGTCATTCACATCTTTTGTTAGGTTTACACCTAGGTATTTGATTTTTTTTTGAGGCTATTGTACCAAGCTATTCTTTTAATAGCGTTTCAAAACTTTTTTCATACAGATATGGTACATGGCTTGCTAAATTTATCCCAAGACATTTTATCTTTTTATGAATACTGAATTTGCTTTTTTTCCTCCTGCAGTACTGGGGATCAAGCCCTGGGCCTCATGCATGCTATTATTATTAAATCTTTTAAGGTAAAAGAGTTGTTATTTCTTTTATATCCAACCATCTTACGCAATTCTCTTGAATTTTTTTGTTTTTATTTATTTATTTTTGGATAGCTCTGGAGATTGAAACCAGGACCTTGCATATGCTAGGCAAATGTTCTACCACTAAGCTACATCCCCAGGGTCCCTCTCTCTCTGTTTTT